CCTGATCTCCGCTGTAGCTTAAAGCATTTAAGGCTCCGATAAAAATTCTTTTGGTAAACAAGTTTCTTAATGACCTTGTGGGATGCTCCTAACGACAAAATAAATAAAGGATGCCTGGTGCCAGAAAATGATTCCAGGTGTGCTTTTAATTGGCCAAGAAGATATGAATTTCATCATAAGTAAAATAAAAATAAGGTAGGCTAAGTTGGGTATAACTAGTCCATTGAACTTCTACATTTGAGGGATTGTATTATACTCAGGCATGCTTTGACTGGCTCACAAATATTTGTACTAGTAGTCCCCGACTTACAAAGGTTCATTTAGTGACCATTCAAAGTTCCAACAGCACTGAAAAAAGGGATTTATGACCAGGGATGGGATTCAAAAGTCTCAACAACCGTTTCTCTGCCTGGTTGCTGGGTGGACGTGACCTACTGGAATTTCTGGGAGGGCCATTTTTTACCTTCCCCAGAGTCCGGAGGCTTCCCTCGGGCCTCTGGGAGGGTGAAAACAGCCTCCCCCAGGCTCCAGAGGCCCTCCAGAAGCCAGAAACAGGCCCATTTCTGGACTTCTGGAACTTCTGGAAGGCCCGTTTTCCCCCTCCCAGAGCCTCCACACAGACTCTGCACTTTTCTGCATCTAAGATGGGCTGCGTGGAGACTCCAGGGAGGGGAAGTGTGGGTGGGGCGAGCCAGTCGATTCAACTACCTGTTCAGTGAACCAGATGTACATTTAATATCTGGTTCACCTGAACCGGTCAGAACCGGCTGAATCCCACCCCCTGCTTATGATCATTTTTCAGACTTATGACAATTGCAGCATCCCCATGGTCGCATAATCCAAACTTGACAAATGACTCATATTTATGACGGTTGCAATATCCTGGGCTTATGTGATCATCTTTTGAGACCTTCCGACCAGCACATTTGATTTTATTCCAGCATCTTCATGCTGCATATTAAAGGATATATATGTGTGTGTATGTATGTATGTGTGTGTGTGTGTGTGTGTGTGTGTGTGTGTGTGTATGGATCTTTGGTTATTCGGGTTTTCTCCCGCGTAAGATTGGAAGTATCTAGGCAACGTTTCGATGAAGTCTCATTCATCATCTTCAGGCTTGTGTCTTCGGCTCTGTGCTTCTCAGAGTAATGTGAGCTTGCAGCTGCTTCTTCCTTTTAACTGCTAGTGGGGGTGTGACTTGATTGGGTGGGGGCTTGGCTTTGTTCTGATTGGGTGGGGGTGTGTTCTCATTGGTTGGGGGTTTGGCTGTGTTCTGATTGGTTGGGGGGTTGGCCGTGTTCTGATTGGCTGGAGGTGTGTTCTGTTCAGGTGGGGGCTTGGTTGTGCTCAGGTTAGTCTTAGTTGCTGGGGGATTTGAGCTATATCTATCTATCTATCTATCTATCTCTGCTGGAAAAAACTCCACCTTGGTGATAGGAAAGGCATCCGGCCTGTAAACACTCAGCTCCATTCACTTGCCCAAACTCCACCCTGCAAGGGATTATGGGGTCATTAAAAGAGGAGGAGAATCTTCATGCTGCCTAAAGTAAAATCTCCACTAGGTCTCAAGGGCTCCTTCTTTCACATCTGCTCCTCCAGATATATGGCATAAGCCAAAATAATCTAGTGCAGCGTTTCTCTATATTCGCAACTTGAAGATATGTGGACTTCAACTCCCAGAATTCCCCAGCCAGCAATTCTCAGAGTTGAAATCTACACTTCTTCAGGTTGTCAAACCTGAAAAACTTGAGAAATACTGGCCTAGTTGGTTCAGGCACCAGGCTAGAAAGACATAGACTGTGAGTTCGAGTGCTGCCTTAAGCATGGCTGGGTGACTTTGGGCCTATCGCCAGGAGACTGTGAGTTCTAGTCCCACCTTAGCCATAAAAGCCAGCTGGGGGGCTTGAGTGGAAGTCCACAAATCTTCAAATTATCAAAGTTGAGATGTCAACTTAAAAAATACTACTTTGGTCTTTTTAGTTGCCAGCAGAAAGGGAGCTGGAGAAAGCAGTGCATTCCTTAAATACTTCAGATAATCGCCTTGGCCACCGAAGCTGTTGGCACGCAAAATTATTACTGGACAGCATGATTGATGACTCTTGGCTATGGATGTGTCTCATTGGAGAATATACATCCAGGGGGTGGGGGGAAGACTGGGGTCAAGGGTGAAATGAATGATGTGTCAGAGTTGGCTGCAACCAGGAAATGCCGGCATGTTAACTCCTAATAAATCAATCTTTTTTACTTTGAAAGATGCGGCTAGAAACTTATGATCTGAATGGAGGTGCATGCTGGAGCCTTGACATGAGAAATACTAGTGGTTCAGGCACCAGACTAGAAATCCAGGCACTGGAAGTTCTAGTTCTGCCTTAGCCGTGAAGGCCAATTGAGTAACTTTGGCCTAGTGCCTTTCTGTGAACCCAGCTCACCTCACAGGTTGTTGTTGTGGTAAGGAAAATAGGAAAAGGAAGGTATGTTGGTTATGTTCACCGCCTTGAGTTACTTGTTAAAACAAACAATAATTGCAGGTTAAAAGGGTAACGGTTCCCCTCCTTGCACATATGTGCTAGTCGTTTCCGGCTCTAGGGGGTGATGCTCGTCTCCATTACAAAGCCGAAGAGCCAGCGCTGTCCGAAGACGTCTCCATGGTCATGTGGCCAGCAGGACTAAATGCCGGAGGCACACAAAATGCTGTTACCTTCCCACCAAAGGGGTCCCTATTTTTCTACTTGCATTTTTATGTGCTTTCGAACAGCTAGGTGGGCAGAAGCTGGGACAAGTAACAGGAGCTCACTCCATTACGTGGTGCTAGGGATTCGAACCGCCGAACTGCCAACCTTTCTGATCAACAAGCTCAGCATCTCAGCCACTGAGCCACCGCATCCCTTAGAAATAAATAAATCAGTAAAATAAGTAAGTTAGTTAGTAAATAAATAAAACCAAATATAGCTAGACAATGGCACCGGTGTTATATGATGGTGGAATGATATTAGTAGGCTAATAAATGGTTCTTGAATATTGTCATAGCAGTAGACATATTTTGACAGCTATGGTAAGATATTGCTTTTATAAATATTGGAATGTGCTGAAATGAGTAGATTGACATTTGAAATTAGAGAACAAGAGGATAAACAATTTTATAAAATTTGGGATCTATTCTATCAATGGTTAGACAATAAAATACAGTAATGAAATATGTAGACTCTTAGAAAATAATAAATATATAAAGATGTACTTCTTTCTTATTATATCTACAAAATGATGTTAGGATAGATTTGGGATGATAATATGAACTGTTATAAAACAAACTAAGTAAATTATGATTATCTTGTAAAACATGAATGAACAAAAGTATAGTCAAATGATTGATTAATAATGATACTAAGGTATTTAATTTTTGATTGAAAATACGAGATTATATGCAATGTGATTGTAATTGAAGACTAAGAAATGGAAGCACAAAACAAGTTGTAAACCAACCGGCACACCGTATGTACACATATGGAAGATGGCTTGATGTTTTTATGTTTTGTTTGTTTATGTTTGTTTTTAAAAACCAATAAAAATTTATTTTAAAAAAAAGATATTGCTTTTACCTCTCTCCATGCCTCCTTCATTTACGTGGTGTGTAAGTCTGGAGCAAGCAGCAAACGTCTCAACTGGGGACATATTGTAAAGTTATTCCTGTTTCCATGGTGCTTCCTAACCTATGAATGTTTTCCATCAGCTGAAGAAGGAGAGAGCATCCACGAGAGAACTAATGGTCATATTTTTGAGGTTGCAATGGCAGGGCAATCGCTCAAAATAAACACAACTGTGCAGCATGGTCTCTTTTCTTTTCTTTTCTTGGGGAGTTGCAATTTTGTTTTTTTGTTTTTTGTTTTTTAAAAACAACCCAATTTTATAGTAGGGATGTCCAACCTTGACAACATGTGGACTTGTGGACTTCAACTCCCAGAATTCCCCAGCCACCATTACTGGCTGGGAAAGTCTGGGATTTGAAGTCCACAGGTCTTAAGAGTTATCAAGTTTGGAACACACATGCCTGTACAATATTTTAAGGTTTTCGAATGGACACAGACAACTATCTGGATGGGTTTGTGTAGAGGGCAGGAAAGACAACTTAGCAACAACATACATGGAAGGACATCTTTATAGCTTTATAGCTCCTGCTACCTTAAGAAAGTTCAAAACATTTTCAAAGATCCATCTCATCCTGGGCAGCCTTTTTTTTAAACTGTTATCTTCTGGCAGATGGTACAGGATAATAAAAAAAAGATAAATAGGCTGAAAAACAGCTTCTATCTCAGGGCAGTAGCTCTTTTGAATTCTATGGTCTAGTGCGATATTAATGCAATATCGGGGGGGTGGTCAATTCAATTATTTAGCATGTGAAGGATGTGTGTTTGTGTTTTATTTTCATAGTCATAACGTACACTGAAGATGGTATTTAATTTTGTTGTATGAGGTGCAATGACAAATAAATTAAACTAAACTAAACTAAATTCAAATCAGCCATCCAGAAGTAACTTTGCACAATGGTGTAGACCAGGGCTTTGCAACAGTGGTGGGATTCAAAAAAAAATTACTACCAGTTCTGTGGGCGTGGCTTGGTGGGCATGGCAGGGGAAGGATACTGTAAAATCCCATTTTCACCCCACTCTAGGGGAAGGGACTGCAAAATCCCATTCCCCACTCCACTAACCTGCTTTCCAGCTCCATTCTCCTGTGCAGGGTAACCAAAAAAGACCCAGCCGATCAGCTGGGACTCAATGGGAGGTGGAGAATAGATGGGGGTGGGGCCAGTCAGGGGCAGGATTGGCCGGTTCTCCAAACTGCTCAAAATTTCCACTACCGGTTCTTCAGAACCAGTCCGAATCAGCTGAATACCACCTCTGGTTTGCAACCTTTTAACACTCAAAGAGCCATTTGGACCCATTTCCCACAGAAGAGAAAACAGCGGGAGCCAATAATTTAACAACCGTTGTGACTGGATGGGCATGGCCAACTCGATGTCACTCATTCCTACCCAGTCGCCTCCTGCTCTGGAATATGTAGTGAGTCTCCATCCTCCACCATCACCCTTACCTTCTCAGGCCATGCAAGGAGTGACGGGGAGGGGAGGGTCCAGCCAGTGGTGGGATCAGCCAACAGGGAGTTGTAATAGAGAGCCGAAAGAGCCGCATGGAGCTCCAGAGCCTCAGGCTGCCACACCCCTGGCATAGGCAGAAATGATTTCCTAGTAAATACATTGAAAAGCAAAGCTAACAAAACATGCTACAAAGCATCCCTTACTTTGATCATGTTGAGCAAACTTCAAAAAATGAGGTCATGTCCAACCTTTGGCCCAGAGAGATGAGCCATGGGGTATTTGCATATTCTGGAGAACATCATGTAATTAAGGTGAAGGGAAAGGGAAAGCATTCCATTTGCATAAATAAGTCCATACTTTCTGGGCTCATGAAGGCTGTGACGTAAATAGAACATAGACTCATAGGACTGGAAGAGTTCTGAGAAGTCAATCTAATCAAAATAGAGCTGGAAAGGACCTTGGAGGTCTTCTAGTCCAGCCCCCTGCTCAACCAGAACATATACCATTTCAGACAAGGGGCTGTCCAGACACTTCTTAAAAATTTCCAGGGATCAAGCGCCCACAACTTCTGCAGTTAAGTTATTCCACTGCATAATTGTCCTCTCTATCAGGAAATCCTGCAAATGTTCTTCATAAGTTTTAGTCTCCAGGCCTTTAATCGTCTTAGTTGCACTTCTTTGCACTTTTCCCAAAATCTCAGTATCCTTTTTTTATAATCTGGTGTCCAAAACTGGAGGCAGGGTTCCAGGTATGGCCTTACTGAGGCTGTACAAAAGTGATACTAATAAGTCATGTGATGTTGATTCTATGCTTCTGTTTATACAACCAAGGATTGCATTGGCTCTTTTGTCTGCAGCCACACACCGCTGACTCATGTTTAAGTGATTAACAGATAATCAGAGTTGGAAAGAACCTGGCAGGTCATCAAGTCCAACCCCCCCCCCACTCCGCCCAAGCAGGAGACCCTACACCATTTCTCACAGATGACAATCCAGTCTCTTCTTGAAAGCCTCCAGTGATGAAGCTCCCACAACTTCCGAAGGCAACTTCTGTTCCATCGGTTGATGATTCTCACTGTCAGAAAATTCCTCCTTATTTCTAGGTTGATTCTCTCCTTGATTAATTTCCATCCATTATTCCTTGTCTGACCTTCGGGTGTTTTGGGGAATAGCTCTTACAGTTACTGTTTTTGAGATTGCCCTTCTAGTCTAGCCCCTTGCTCAAAGCAGAGACCTTATACCATCCCAGCCTAACAGTAGTCCAGTCTATTTTTGGAAACTTCCATCAATGGAGCGTCTACAATTTCTGAAGGCAAGGTGTTCCACTGATTAATTGTTCTGGAGTTTCTCCTTACTTCTACGTTGAGTCTCTCTTTGATAAGTTTCAACCCGTTGCTTCTTGTGCTACCCTCTGGTGCTTTGGAGAACAGATCCACCTCAGTGGTGGGATTCAAATATTTTTACTACCAGTTCTATGGGTGTGGCTTGGTGGGCATGGCAGGGGAAGGATACTGTAAAATCTCCAGCTAGAGGTGGTATTTGCCAGTTCTCCGAACTACTCAAAATATCCACAACTGGTTCTCCAGAACTGGTCAGAACCTGCTGAATACCAACTCTGGTCCACCTCTTCTCTACTGGGACAAGTAGAGGAAGACAGCTCTCATGCTAGATGCTGGAAAAACCCTTTGTGGGTTGATTCCAGTGCTGGGATTCAAATTTTTTTACTACCGGTTCTGTAGGTGTGACTTGGTGGGTGTGGCATGGCTTGGTGGGTGTGATTTTGGGGGAATGAATTGGTGAGCATGGGTTGGTGGGCATGGCAGGGGAAGGATACTGTAAAATCCCCATTCCTTCCCCACCCCTGGGGGAAGGTTACTGCAAAATCCCCATTCCCTCCCCACCCCACTAACCTGCTTTCCAGCTCCGTTCTCCTGTGCAGGGCAGCCAAAGAAGACCCAGCTAATCAGCTGGAACTCGGGAGGCAGAGAATAGATGGGGTGGGGCCAGTCAGAGGTGGTATTTGCCAGTTCTCCAGAACTACTCCAAATTTTCACTATCGGTTCTCCAAAACTGGTCAGAATCGGCTGAATACCACCTCTGGTTGATTCTTTTTAAATCAGCCTCAGTGACTTAATAAAGCAATTAACAATAAATAATAATTTAACAATCAGATCTCTGCCCTAATGATTTCTTCCAACAACCAGTTCACCAAACTGCTCAGAAAATTAACAACCGGTTCTCCCAAAGTGGTGCAAACTGGCTGGATCCCACTACTGGTCGGTCTGCTGTTTCAAGGCTTTTGAGACCAGAATTAAGGGACAGGGAACACCATCTCGTGTAGCCGCTGCTCATTTTTAACAGTCTTAAGTTTGTCCTGTTGCGTTGTCTAATGCTTCGTTGTATTTGAGTCATTTTACTCCTGTTTGGGTTGGTAGGTTTGAACAGAGACCCTATTCTTCTGGGGAAGCCAAGGATGGATGAATTGGCAGGTTGGTCCGATGCCAAGCAATATACTAAATCGCTTAAAGGAACAAATGCTTGTTTCAGCCTCCAAGCATTGTTTCAAGGCAGGATGGTAAATAAGGTTAAGATAAAGAAATCAAACACCTTTCAATTCAGTGGGGAGGTAGAAAAAATAGAAGTTTGTTTGGAGCCACCTCACAATTACACTACTTTCCTTGTCTGGAAATAGTAGGCTGTCCTCCAGTCAATAGGACGCCCTCAAGAGATAAAAGTCTTGATTAGAACAGCCTTGCAACTCCTGGTTGCCCTGTGTTGGCACAATCAGATTTATGTTTCTTTCTACAAAGCTGTTAAGTCCTCTAATTATTTTGCTGGGACAATTGACTCTGGTTGCTTGAGCCAGGAGCAAAGATACTGCAATGGAAAAGGATTATTTCAAGGAAAACTCAGGGCATTTTCGCTTCTTTGCATGCGTGGAAGCAATAGCAATAGACTTACAGACTGCTTTGCATTGCTTAACAGCCCTTACAGAGTCAGCCTCTTGCCCCCAACAATCTGGGTCCTCATTTTACTGACCTTGGAAGGATGGAAGGATGGGTGAACCTTGAGCCGGTCAGGATCGAACTCCAGACAGTGGGCAGAGTTGGCCTGCAGTACTGCATTCTAACCACTGTGGAGGGAGGGAGGGAGGGAGGGAGGGAGGGAGGGAGGAAGGAAGGAAGGAAAGGAAAGGAAAGGAAAGGAAAGGAAAGGAAAGGAAAGGAAAGGAAGGAAGGAAGGAAGGAAGGAAGGAAGGAAGGAAGGAAGGAAGGAAGGAAGGAAGGAAGGAAGG